GAAGTTTTCTCTGGTCATTTCTGTGATACATTTTCACTGCCATGATTAACATATTGGTGTGTGTGTGTGTGTTTGTATGTGTGTGCGTATGTGTTTGTATGTGTGTGTGTGTGTGCGTGTGTGTGTGTGTGTGTGTGTGTTTGTATGTGTGTGTGTGTGTGCGTATGTGTTTGTATGTGTGTGTGTGTGTGCGTATGTGTGTGTGTGTGTGTGTGTGTGTGTGTGTGTGTGTGTGTGTGTGTGTGTGTGTGTGTGTGTGTGTGTGTGTGTGTTCGTGCATGTATTCATTGAGATATTTATGTATCTATATTCATATATTTATGCAAGTATGTTAGTATATATGTACTTACAGTTTTATTCATATTATATAAATATCTCGTCGTTTCTTCTTAATTTCCTGACGTCATCATCATCACTGGGTTGTTTGGTAAATCAAAGAGAAGGTATATTTGAACATTTATTTTAAAATCTTTTTCTTTGAAAGGGCAGATATATAAAACCCTCTTAGTAGTTTCTAGATAATAAATACAAAGTCATGATTTGCACTAAACCATGTACAATAAATACATTTTGCTGGATAAGAAAAAAAGAGAGAGAGAAAAAAAATCATACATAATGAAAATTACAAGAAAAATACACGGGAAATAAAGTAAACCCTAATTTTAATGAGACTAGATTTTTTTCGTTTTCCGAATATATATATACATATACATATATATATATAAAACACATAAACCTACGAAATTCTTTATAATTTACCCTTCAGGCAACCCCTTCGTATTCGCAGGGGTTGGGGGGTTGGGGGCGACCCGGGGGGGGTGTAGGAGGTGATTCTCCTCCCCCTCCCTCCCTCCCTCCCCCCTCTTCCCTCTTCCCACACCCTCCTTCCAAAGTTAAACCCTCTCGCATGGCCAGAGGTATTTCTTCTCCCTGGCAACACTGTCCCTCCATTTCTTGTAGTGATAATCATCTTCCTCTTTTATCGGTGGCACAGTGACACGACGGAATGCCAGGGTATGCGGAATATGCCCTGCCTCGGGGACGGAGCCCACGCAGAGAGCGCTGCAGGGCCGCCGCGCCCGGGTGTGGGGGTCGCCCTCTGGCCACGCGAGAGAAGGGGGAGGGGGGAAGGGGGGAAAGGGGAGGGGGGGAGATACGTCAATACAAGTGGCACCCGGAAATGAAACGTTCAATGGTACAAAATAAAAAAAGAAAAAAAAAAGAGAAAAAAAAATACAAAACGGGGGAACACAAAAGAAAATAAATGATGTTGACTTTTTGTACTACAAGTCTGCTATTTATATGTGTAATAAATAAATCTATATTTGAAGTTATTCATTAATGTACATAAGTGTTCACATGAGGACTATTTGATCGAGAGAGAACGACTTTCTCCCCCCCCAAAATAATAAGAAAAGGGATGAACTTCTTTTTAAAAAATATGGGATGAGGGAAGAAAAATAAATAAATAAGAATTTTCATCCTAACCGTTCGAACACTAGACAAAAACAAACAAACAAACGCTTTACTTCCTCACAATACACTCAATTATTTTTTTTTTCGAATGCATTTCATATATATATATCATTTTACCTTTTTTTTGTCACAGAAATGCTCTACTCAAACGTCCACTCACCACCGACGAATCACGACATCAAAACTTAGCAGACTCTTGGAAATCGCCCTGAAGAGTGAAGGCTTCGTAAGTACAAGTCCCTCGCCAGACACACCGATTCTTTTTTTCGTTTGATTTCTTTTTTTAGTTATCATTACTTCTACATTTACATGTTTGCCATCCTGCTTTGATATGGGGTACGTACATACTTTACATATATATATATATATATATAATATATATATATATATATATATATATATATATTATATATATATATATATATATAATATATATATATATAAAACACATAAACCTACGAAATTCTTTATAATTTACCCTTCAGGCAACCCCTTCGTATTCGCAGGGGTTGGGGGGGTTGGGGGCGACCCGGGGGGGGGTGTAGGAGGTGATTCTCCTCCCCCTCCCTCCCTCCCTCCCCCCTCTTCCCTCTTCCCACACCCTCCTTCCAAAGTTAAACCCTCTCGCATGGCCAGAGGTATTTCTTCTCCCTGGCAACACTGTCCCTCCATTTCTTGTAGTGATAATCATCTTCCTCTTTTATCGGTGGCACAGTGACACGACGGAATGCCAGGGTATGCGGAATATGCCCTGCCTCGGGGACGGAGCCCACGCAGAGAGCGCTGCAGGGCCGCCGCGCCCGGGTGTGGGGGTCGCCCTCTGGCCACGCGAGAGAAGGGGGAGGGGGGAAGGGGGGAAAGGGGAGGGGGGGAGATACGTCAATACAAGTGGCACCCGGAAATGAAACGTTCAATGGTACAAAATAAAAAAAGAAAAAAAAAGAGAAAAAAAAATACAAAACGGGGGAACACAAAAGAAAATAAATGATGTTGACTTTTTGTACTACAAGTCTGCTATTTATATGTGTAATAAATAAATCTATATTTGAAGTTATTCATTAATGTACATAAGTGTTCACATGAGGACTATTTGATCGAGAGAGAACGACTTTCTCCCCCCAAAAAATAATAAGAAAAGGGATGAACTTCTTTTTAAAAAATATGGGATGAGGGAAGAAAAATAAATAAATAAGAATTTTCATCCTAACCGTTCGAACACTAGACAAAAACAAACAAACAAACGCTTTACTTCCTCACAATACACTCAATGATTTTTTTTTCGAATGCATTTCATATATATATATCATTTTACCTTTTTTTTGTCACAGAAATGCTCTACTCAAACGTCCACTCACCACCGACGAATCACGACATCAAAACTTAGCAGACTCTTGGAAATCGCCCTGAAGAGTGAAGGCTTCGTAAGTACAAGTCCCTCGCCAGACACACCGATTCTTTTTTTCGTTTGATTTTCTTTTTTTAGTTATCATTACTTCTACATTTACATGTTTGCCATCCTGCTTTGATATGGGGTACGTACATACTTTACATATATATATATATATATATATATATATATATATATATATATATATATATATATATATATATATATATAAAAACATATATACATAGTATGCAGTGGTTGGTCCTAGCTAAACACGGAGCGCCTGGATCCGCGGCGGTCAGGTCGAGGCTCCGACGAGCGAGGTCGAGGCGAGAGCCGCCGCCGCCTCGCTCAGCCCTCGGAGGACGAGGCGCCGGCGGACCTCGGGCTCCGTCGTTTTCCCGGCTAAACTGTGGTAGTATTCGCGTGAACTTTGTGAGCTGTTGGAATGGTCTTTCGGCATCATTACTCTGTTCTGCTCCTCTTTCTTGAATGATAACCTCAGAGACTGTGGACCCGCGTCCCGGGCGACCGACGGCGGCGCGGCGGAGGACTCGGCTGAAGAGCGGATATGTTTCGGGCCGCACAGGGCCACGGTGGCCAGTCCTCCGCGTGGCACCGCGTCGGGGCCCGGAACTGCGGGCGTGGTGATGCTGCGGAAGGGATGCTGTGCCGGAGAGAGACTGCCCGGCGCACGCAATCCTCGACCCTCCGTCCTAAGCTATGATTTACTTTGTGTAAAAAAGATTCCTCTTTTGTTTTGTTTTGCGAGAAATGATGAAGGAGACGTATCACATTTTAACTTTTCAGAAACAGTGAAAGGCTCCTGATAAGGCAATGTAGTATTCTCTCCTCACGTACACATGGGATACAGGAAAACTAGCATTTATAACAACGAATCACTAGTGTTAAACCAACTAGTTAAGGCAAAGGTACACATTTACTGTACTAATACTGCACTATCATCTTAACTGCCCCGTCCTTCCCTCGTCCGGAGAACTGCCCAAGTCGGTTCGGAAACAGCTGCCTGTCCTCAGGGGGACGCTCTCCCGCGCCCCAGCAGTCGCCTTCCTCCTCCCGGTTTCCTTCCTTTGGCTTCCGCTCCTCCCCCCCCGCGACGCCGGCGACCGAGAGCGTCTTGGGCCTCGGTTTGCGTCGCACGCCTTGGCACGCGTTCGGTTCCTCGCACGAAGGGCGGTCTGGCGCCTCCTTCGTGCTCTTCCTAATATTCCATAGTTTTTACCCTTTTCTTGAGACAGCAAGAGAAGTTTTCTGACTTTAGTTTTTCACAACCTTCAGTGTTACTATTTAAAAAGTCGTTGGTCAATGGGCATACTCTTTCTCTCTCTCTTTTTCTCTCTTTCTCTCCCTCTCTCTCAAACAACGATGCGCTGGAAGTATCGAGGGTCACCACCACTGTGCGATCTGCTCCTCCGTGCCTCCCTCGCCCTCCTGGCCTGGAGCGTGGCGGCCGCCCTCGGGAGGCCGCCCCCCCTCCGGGCGCGCTGGTCCCTCTGCCCCGACCCGCCACGTCGGCGCTGTCCTCTCCACCGAGCACAAGCGATAACACTCGCCACATGGGACCCTGATTTTGATTATATGAATGACGTACAGACTAAGACCCACTGAGTTCAGAGCGCGGGCGCTTCGCGGCCGAGTCCGCCGCGGGCGCGCGCTCTCGTCTTTTCGAGGATTTCACTTGGACATTGTCTGGCCCGAAGGCCGGGTCCTCGCCCACCACTGCGGCCCCGAAACCGCCGCCGACGGCATCACTTCCTCCTCGCTGATCCCAGGCCCCTCCCCCGCGGCTTGCAGCGTCCGCGGCGGCCGCCCGTGCCCCTGCAGGCTTGGGCGGGGGGCGGGGGGCAGGGCTGTCGCGCCGGGCGGCGCCGACGGGCAGCGCGGGGCAGGCGGCGAGCTCGCTATCGTCTCTCTCTGCAAAGGAGAGAGGGTGCTTCTCGCCGCCCGTCCCCGCCGCCCCCTCCCTCCTCCAGGGGCTGCCGCATGAGCAGCCTCTCCTGCCGAAGGGCGGGCACGCACTCTCGTCCTCGGTGAGCGCCGCGCAGAAGCCTCCCCGCGACGGAGGTTCCCTGTGCCCCTGCAGCGCGACGGCGGCGGCGGCAGCGTGGCAGCAGGACTGTCATACCTGGCAGGCATTGGGAACCTTCTTGGCCTCCTGCCGCTGCCACTGGCACTGGTGGCAGGGCGTGCAGTCGGCCTCCGTCTTGTTGGCCTGCAGCGCGGTCTCCCACTCCACCAGCTGGCCCATGAAGTTGAGGTTGGGCGAGATGATGGGCCGCCGCGCCTTCACGTACTTGTACGAGTCGACCATCGTGCGGCGCGTGTGCTTCATGAGGTACGCGATGACCATGGTGGGCGAGCGGGACACGCCGGCCTGGCAGTGCACCAGCACGCGCTCGCCCGACTGCCGCGCCTCATCTGCGGGGAAGGGGGGGGGGGGGGTTAGCAACAGGCAAGATAGGTGGACTCGATTTCTTGAAATTTCTATACATCAAATAACAGCATTTTTCTATGCAGCACATTATAACAACAGCAATAATACTTATTTATACACCACATAATAACAATAATAATGACCAAAAAGGAAGCAAAACAAGAAATAGCCCGACCCTCCGGCGTTAGGAGTCACAAAAATCTAATCCCAAATGTTTATGCGTGTGAGTGTGAGGAGAGAGAGAGAGAGAGAGAGAGAGAGAGAGAGAGAGAGAGAGAGAGAGAGAGAGAGAGAGAGAGAGAGAGAGAGAGAGAGAGAGAGAGGGGGGGGGGGGGGCGCCCTGTGACGGGACAAAGCCATAATTGTCCGCCAGGCTTTTGTTTCGTGGCTGAGTCATCGCCGCTGCCACCATTGTTAGGCCCAAATACACACATCACTAGGTTCTTCCTTGCTCCCTCTCTCCCCTCTTCCCCTCCTTCCTTCGCTATCTTCCTCCTCCCTCCCTTCTCCTCCACCCTTCCATCCCCCCCTTTCCATTCCCCTTTTACGCTATCTCCCCTTCTTTATTTCTTGTTTTTCTTTCCCCACCCTCCCTTCCCCCTTCTTTCAGTTTCTTTGATCTCCACAATCTCTCTCTTTCTCTCTCTCTCTCTCTCTCTCTCTCTCTCTCTCTCTCTCAAAATAGGGAAATGGGGGGATAAAGAAAATGGAATAAAAATATATAAATATTTAAAGGAAAGAGACGCGATGATGATAATAATAATAATAACAATAATACCGGTGAAGACTTTGAGAATAATCATAAGCCGAAGAAGAGAAGACGACGAAAAGAAGCGAGAAGAAGGAAGACGAAATCAACAATAACAAGAACAGAAAACGAGAAGAGAAGGATGACTCAGCACTTAGAAGGCAAAACTCCCAACCGCGGTCGAAATCCATCAAGTCACCTTCTAACACCCCTTTTCCTCTTCCCTTTTCCCTTTCCTCTCCCTTTCAGCGCTCCCTCTCTATTCCTTTAACCCTCTTTATCCTCCGTTTCCTGGACCCTAAATTCCCTAAAGCATTTACCATTTTTTAAAAGTTTCGGCGAAATTTCACCTCAGGACGAGACGCTTCACGTTTTCTCTAGTGGTCAAAGAAGAAAACGGATCCTATTTAAGGGTATAACTAGGTCATTCTGATGAGAGAGAGAGAGAGAGAGAGAGAGAGAGAGAGAGAGAGAGAGAGAGAGAGAGAGAGAGAGAGAGAGAGAGAGAGAGAGAGAGAGAGAGAGAGAGAGCGAATCCGACGTTACAAGTGACGCTGGAACAAGTAGCGGATCACTGAGTCACCACTCATGACTCACGCAAGACACACGCACGCACGCACGCACGCATTCACTCACAGGCTCACGCATCACCGCCGACGTCCTCTGTGAGTCGCGCCATGACAGCACGCTCCCCCCACCCCCCCGCCCCCTTACAGCGTCATCCACACGATGTGCTAACGTCTGCCTTTTGACTGTATGGCAGTGACATAGGTAATATGAATAAATAAATAAGTAAATAAGTAAATAAATGAAGGAATAAATGGTAACTCTCAGGTTAGTCTTTCTCTCTCTCTCTCTCCCTCTATCTCTTCCTCCCTCCCCCTTTCCCCTCGACACGGGGCTAACACATGGCGTAAACACTAAACAATGAATGGAAGAGTCACTGAAGGATTATCAATGGCCGAGGGCGCCCCCCCCCCTTCCCATATCCTCCTCCTCCCCCCTTTCAAAGACCCTCTTGCGTTTCCCCTCGATTATTCTCGTTCTCTTCTATCCCTTCTTTTCTCCACCCTCTTCTCTCTCTCTCTCACGTCATCGCCATTTTTATTTCTCTATCTCTTCCTCCTTTAGCTCCTAATCCCAGTCCTCCTAACTTCTCCTTCTCCTCCTTCTCTTCCCCTCTTCCATTTCCCTCCATCCTGTCAGCTGTGTGTCCTCTCTCCCCCCTCCCCTCCTTCTTCCCCTCCACGCTCCACCCATTCATGAATCATCCTCCCCCCCTTCTCCCCTCTCCGCTCCTCCCCCCTCTTCCCCTTCTCCCCTCTCCGCTCCTCCCCCCCTCTTCCCCTTCTCCCCTCTCCGCCCCCCCCTCTTCCCCTTCTCCCCTCTTCCGTACCTGTTGCTTCCTTCCTCCCATCTCCCTGTCCCCTCGGCCGCAAGGGGAAGCCAAGAGCGGTTCACTGACATAAGAAAAAAAAGGCGAGGAAACCAAGACAAAACAGAGGAAACCAAACCAAACCAAAAAGTGAGAAAGATAGAGACAAGAGAATGAAATATAATTACGGAAACGAGAGAAACATTTCCATTATCAGAAATATAAGAAGTGTCATGTTTCGAAGAAGAATAAAGAGGAGAGAGAGATAGCGAGCGAGAGAGCGAGAGAGAGAGAGAGAGAGAGAGAGAGAGAGAGAGAGAGAGCGAGAGAGGCGAGGAAATAGCGGGTGATGTCAGCCAGCGTGCACCCGGGGTCTGCCTGGAAAGCCCACTCGCCTTAGGCTCTCCAGATACCAAGGCGGTGAGACAGGCGGTCCCTCTTCCTCTCTGTCTGTCTGTCTGTCTCTCTCTCTGTCTCCGTCTCTCTCTCTCTCTCTCTCTCTCTCTCTCTCTCTCTCTCTCTCTCTTGCTCTTACTCTTTTCCTCCCCCCCTCCCCCCCCCTCTCTCTCTCTCTCCCTCTCTCTCTCACCCCCCCTCTCTCTCTCTTCCGCCCTCCCTCTCTTCCTCCCTCCCTCCCTCTCCCTCTCCCCCTCAATTCCCCATTCAAATTCTGGAATGCTTCTTATCCGAATCCGTGCCGCAGATCTCCATATCGGGAGTCAGCCACTGGCGGAGATGCTTATTTGGCCGCGAGATAAGCCACATGGGAGAGGGAGGGAGGGAGGGAGGAGAGGGAGAGAGACCGAAAGATAGATAGAGAAATTGAGAGAAGAGAAGAGAAGAGAAGAGAAGAGAAGAGAGAAAAGAGGAAAGAAGAGAGAGAAGAGAGGAGACGAGAGAAATGAAGAATGACTCTACAAAGAATGAAAGAAAGAAAGAAAAGAAAAGAAAAGAAAAAAAGGTTACCTAACAAGGTGTTACTGTCTCAAACTGTGCGTTTTTACTAGCGATTTTTTTTTTTTTGTCGATCGCGGTCTGGTATGAATCGAAGCGTCCTTATATGGCTTGTTCTCAAGATGCGAAAAAAAGCGGAGGGGGGAGGGGGTGACGGAGGGGGAGGGGGAGGGGGCAGGGAGTTGTAGATGGAGGAAGAAGGTCGAGTGGAAGGAAGGAAGGAAGGAAGGAAAGGAAGTAGCGAGGAAGGGAGGAAATATAATAAACGAGGAAGAAAAGAAATATTCGAGAAAAATCGCAACATAAACGATAAAAAAAAATCATCCTTCTTCACGATTCCCTTTTCCACCTCCCCCCCCCCACACCCAACCCCCGCGTTAGATCTATTTCGCCCATTCTCTCTCATCTACCTATCCTTCCTCCCTCCTTCCTCTCTCTATCCACCTATCCCCGTCAGCTGACCGTGGAAATGGCCAATGGAGTGACCCTTCATTGCGTCATCCGGTCGTTTCCCCGCCGCCCGCACCTCCATGACGTCACTTCCGCCTCGACGACAGTAGAGAACGCGAGACCAATATAATTTTTTTTTTAGGCGTGGGGGGGGGGGATAAAAGAAAAGAAAAGAAAAATATCTAAATAAATGGCTGGTGTTAGACTTCAAATAAAGTGAAAGAAACCAGAAGAAAATTTTAGGCGGGGAAGAAAGTTTTCAATAAAGAGAACGCGAGACCTAGATTTTATTATTTTTTTAGGCGGGAGAAGAAAACAAAAGAAAATATCCAAATAAACGACTGGAATAAGACTTGATTTAAAGAGAAAGAAAACATTTGATAGACAATAGACAATAGACGGAATTAAATCAACCGAGAGAGAAAAAAAATGAGAAAGAAGTCACCGCGGGAAAGGAGAGACAAGTGCAGCGCGCAAAGCGTATGACAACAACAGGTCCGGCGCAATGAATGAACGAGGCTGCTCCGGGGGACTCAAATACGCACAAGTGGGAGAGAGAAAGAGAAAGAATGCAAAAAAAAAAAAAAAGAAAAGAAAAGAAAAGAAAAAAAGAGAAAGAGAAGGAGAGAAATAAAAAAAATTATGTCGTATGTGTCTGTAAGGTCGAGCGTGAGCTTGGCGGGTAATGAGATTTTCACCCTTTTCGCCCTCGCTTCCGCACGGGTTAACTGGCCGAATTGACAATGATGGCGAGGGGAGAGGGGGAGGGGGGAGGATAGAAGGGGGAAGAAGGGGAGGGGGGGAGAGGAGGAGGAGGAGGAACGGCCTTGACTTCTGCTACTGTTTCATACTTTGGGATTTTCTTAAACCAACAAACAAACCCCTTTTTTATCATGTTTTTTTTCCACCTTTATCAACATAAAAAGATTTTTTTTCCTCTTCAGCGACAAACATCCTTTACACAAAAAAGAAAAAATGCGGTTACATATCCGCGGTTTTCCTACCACTGAGCGTCCTCCCCCCCCCCCCTTTCGTATCCTCCATCCTGCCCCCCCCCCTCTCCCCCTCCCTCCCCATGCCCCTCACATGCCCTTAACGTGTGGCATTTACCCCCTCCCCCCCCTAATTCACCCCTCACCCTCCTCCTCTCTCCTTCTTCCTCTTCTTTCCACCTCTTCTCCCTTCTTTTCTATTTCTCCTTCTCTCCCTCTCTCGGCCTCTTCCCCCCCTCCTCCTCTCCCTCTCCCTGCCTCTATCTCCCTTCTCTCCCTCTCCCTCTCCGTCAGAGTGCCCCCCTCCCCCCCCCCCCCCTCCCTCACAAACTCCCTCTGGACCTGCTATCACCATCAAGCCCCGGGTGTTCTCTGGCGAGCCCTCGGTGGTGCAACGGCTGTTATGCAACCATGCTGAATCTCTCTCTTTCTCTTGCTCCCTCTCTTTCTCTCTCTCTCTCTCTC